AAATGACACAAGTTGTACACGACGCACAAAGATTATATTGAATAATATAGTGACGTACAAGTGTACAACGATACATTGTCATACTAATAAGTTCAAAAATAAAATGGATTTTATAAGGTTATCAGTTTGAAATACCATAAAAACGTTAAGATTGTTCATAAAAGTGATTCAATTATCCGGTACTAAGTGATTCTAATAAACGGTTGATTCACACATTAAGCGGAACTCACTGTATATATGCATTGCGGTTCTACAGGTTCGGAAATATTTCAATATCCACATGTAATAATGATATAATAACGATGAATGGTATGCGAAAGAAGAACTGCATTATTATAATGTATTGGACTTTATGGTCATATACGCCATCGAAAAAAGTGCCCGTCACCCCAGTCCCTCGGCAAAGTATGCAATCAACCTATGCACATTTATACCAACCAAACTAAAGACGCATTATTATTTATTTACGACTTGATCGTCGTCGACGTTTTTCGTGGGTCTAAGTTAAATGAAATTCCCGCGCCGTGGATTTCATATTCTAAACTCTACGCGACAGTGGTGTGCTGCAGCTCATGACTAGACTGCATGTACACGATATCAGGTGCACTTAGGTAAATAGACATTCAAGCGAGTATCGGTCCACTGAATCTTAGGATGTCTAACATTTGCTTACTGCAGCTACTGCACACCGTTTTTATAATTCGATTAAATTATATTTTCTACTAGTTTCTGTTTACATTTCTCATTATCAAATATAAATAAAATTATAACCATACACTTATAACCGGTCCATAATTTGAAAGGTCCCCCAGATTCTCTCGGTAGCTCACCGGCCCCATCCAGGCCTATACGCATAGTTGGGCACCATACAGCACATGGTTTAATATTTTCACTTGTACGGTGTACCTACCTATGTAAACATGGAGGTACACATCAGCAATATGATAAACACGTAATGTGCAGAACATCAAGGTAAAACGTCAAAGTCTGGACGGTATTTCGCGATAAGAGAGAGATAGAGAACAGTATATAAATGAAATATGAAAAAAAAATCTCACGAAAACCGAAGTACGGTATATTACCAGCGTGTGTGTTTGTGTGCGAGGATAATAAAGACGGTAATTATTGGAAAACAAAATCTCGTCCCGAAACTAGGACATGGACGTTTCAGGAGGACGACGGCGAATAACATAATAATAATAAACGCCACCAAGACCTTCGAACGTGTCATGGACGTGCGTTTGTTATAGTATAGCATAATATTATATACATTATAATATTATATAGGTAGGCACCAATATAAAGTGAAAGGTGTGCAGTGTGTATGGTTTTTGTGAGGCACCAGCTCTGTACATAATAATGATATACCTCTATACATGTATGTATACCATATAGCTATTATAAAATAACATAATAAATTATGGCGGACGAAACGTAACGAATGCAAAACTCAAAAATGGAATGGGAAATAATATAATAAAATAAAATAATAATTACACGCAGAACACGTCAATTAATTTTCGTTTAATCGCTTAACTTACAACATCATATTTTATTTATATTGGTTAGCGCAACACGCGTACGCTGCATACATATACATATAATATTAGTACCTATGCATATAGAATTACGTATGTATATTGTATATATAGGTATATACGCGAGCATATGAACAAAACTGTTTTCTTTATATAAATATATATCATATTTATTTACGTAGGCGTGTATATAATATGTAAGTACTGAATTGTTCACAAGTTCACAACCGACAAATAGTATGTGCGAAAAACCGACGTTATTTTATTATACAGTTAACACCTCTAGGTATATAATATATATATGCGACGAGACAACGCAACGATTGGTATAATATTTATAGTATAACAACATTTTACTCGACGCGTACAATAATAATAATAATAA